ACCAACTCGTAAATCAAAAGAAATAACTCTTTCATTCAACAGAGATCCGTTTGGGGGGTACATGTATAAGGTAAGATATGACAAAAACATAAACGTATAAAAGTTTATCTCTTATAATATATTATAATAGATGAATAAATTCCCAAAGGAGGTCATGCCTACTAACAAAACCTACCCAATTCCTGCTGTCGATCTATACGATAAAGCAGATGATGTCAATAAAATGCTAAACCCACTAAAAATATATGTTACTTCCTCACAAAGCTTCTCCGTTCCTCTCAACAATGTCTTTCAATTAACACCACCGGTAGTACAAAATGTAAGCGATTACACTGCATGGATCAAAGAGCCGAATTTCAAATACTGGTCTCAACAGCTCAATTTCGCTTGCTGGTGTGCAACTAGTGGATGTGGGATTAGCTATCATATCATAGAGCCTGATACTCAAATCGGATCTATCCTAAGATTCCATGTAGTATATACGATCAGATGCATCCTAAACGATCTAAAAGTTCCACTGCCGTGGGATAACACGTTCGTATGGAATGGTACTAGATATGATAAGAGCGCTTTAATGTCATTATGCAACGAGTTTGGTATCGATTCATCCAACCCAGATTTCCGATTCAAAGGTAAATCCACAGAAGAAGATATGTTCAATTTCCATTATAGAAGCCCTTATAAAGATAGCTTGACAGCATATTATACATCCACCCACAAAGATCGTAGTCAATATAATTGGTTTATACCTCAGAAAGGTCATGGTATCACGAAAGCAGGATTGTCACGATTGAACCAAAGTATTGAAGCATTCGTTTATTGCATGCTAGGCTCACAGGTCAATACTAGATCATCAATCATTGGCGATTCAGGTACCGCGCTGAAATTAGCAGCCAACTCAGCAGCCAACTCAACATTTCTAAATATAATATTGCCTCGAATGCTAAAAATTACGAATGGTATATCCAAAGAAAGGCTTTTGATAAAAATTAAGATACAACTATCAAAATAATATTAATATCTTTAATATATTACTGATTAAGAGATAATTCTTTTCGTATTCGAGCGGTGAGCGCCAAAAACTATTTTCTTGAAAAAAGGCTGTTGTACAAGGCTAAAATCTTGTTATTCAGAAAGTTTAACTTGTTTGGAAGTGAAGTGGATATGACCGATGAAAGTGGAAACAAAGTGTTAAACCCAAAGCAAAATTTTTGAATCGAAAATGAGGTTTAGG